TATTCAGCCCCTGCAATGAAATATGTTCATATGATAATGATTCATAAATAAAAAATTGATATGCATCGTTGTTAATTAAAGTGGGCTGGGTTTTTAATCCCCGCAATGAAATATGTTCATAATCATATTGATTCATAAATCATAATTTGATATACATCGTTGTTTATGAGATCTTCTTGACTGTTTATGATTAGCGTTATCTTTTAACCATTACCAGTTTAGTCCCGCTGCATGTATGCCCCGTATTATAACGCGACAATAGTAAATATTGTATGTATCATTAGAATGCATGATAAATAGGAAATACATGTCTGTTGAAGATATCACTATAGATTTAGTTTGATATTAATACTATCTGCTACTTATAAATACATGTACGTGTCTGTCCAGTGACACCCGATTATACCGGACTGTAAGAAGCCAGGGAAATGGTCCGAATTAACAGACAGATAGACAGGCAGAGAAGCAGGCTGACAGAATGGCAGAAAGACAGAGAAGCAGGTTGACTGACAGAGACACAGACTGACAGAGAGACAGACAGATAGATAGAAAGACAGGCAGATAGGCAGGCAGGCAGGCTGACAGAATGACAGACAGACAGAGAAGCAGGTTGACTGACAGAGAGACACAGACTGACAGAGAGACACAGACTGATAGAGAGACAGACAGATAGATAGAAAGACAGGCAGATAGGCAGGCAGGCAGGCTGACAGAATGACAGACAGACAGAGAAGCAGGTTGACAGACAGAGAGACACAGATTGACAGAGAGACACAGACTGACAGAGAGACAGACAGATAGATAGAAAGACAGGCAGATAGGCAGGCAGGCAGGCTGACAGAATGACAGACAGACAGAGAAGCAGGTTGACTGACAGAGAGACACAGACTGATAGAGAGACACAGACTGACAGAGAGACACAGACTGACAGATAGATAGAAAGACAGGCAGATAGGCAGGCAGGCAGGCTGACAGAATGACAGACAGACAGAGAAGCAGGTTGACTGACAGAGAGACACAGACTGATAGAGAGACAGGCAGATAGGCAGGCAGGCAGGCTGACAGAATGACAGACAGACAGAGAAGCAGGTTGACTGACAGAGAGACACAGACTGATAGAGAGACAGACAGATAGATAGAAAGACAGGCAGATAGGCAGGCAGGCAGGCTGACAGAATGACAGACAGACAGAGAAGCAGGTTGACAGACAGAGAGACACAGATTGACAGAGAGACACAGACTGACAGAGAGACAGACAGATAGATAGAAAGACAGGCAGGCAGGCAGGCTGACAGAATGACAGACAGACAGAGAAGCAGGTTGACTGACAGAGAGACACAGACTGACAGAGAGACACAGACTGATAGAGAGACAGACAGATAGATAGAAAGACAGGCAGATAGGCAGGCAGGCAGGCTGACAGAATGACAGACAGACAGAGAAGCAGGTTGACTGACAGAGAGACACAGACTGACAGAGAGACAGACAGCTGGATAGAAAGACAGGCAGATAGGCAGGCAGGCAGGCTGACAGAATGACAGACAGACAGAGACGCAGGTTGACAGACAGAGAGACACAGACTGACAGAGAGACACAGACTGACAGATAGATAGAAAGACAGGCAGATAGGCAGGCAGGCAGGCTGACAGAATGACAGACAGACAGAGAAGCAGGTTGACTGACAGAGAGACACAGACTGATAGAGAGACAGACAGATAGATAGAAAGACAGGCAGATAGGCAGGCAGGCAGGCTGACAGAATGACAGACAGACAGAGAAGCAGGTTGACAGACAGAAAGACACAGACTGACAGAGAGACACAGACTGACAGAGAGACAGACAGATAGATAGAAAGACAGGCAGATAGGCAGGCAGGCAGGCTGACAGAATGACAGACAGACAGAGAAGCAGGTTGACTGACAGAGAGACACAGACTGACAGAGAGACACAGACTGACAGAGAGACAGACAGCTGGATAGAAAGACAGGCAGATAGGCAGGCAGGCAGGCTGACAGAATGACAGACAGACAGAGACGCAGGTTGACAGACAGAGAGACACAGACTGACAGAGAGACACAGACTGACAGATAGATAGAAAGACAGGCAGATAGGCAGGCAGGCAGGCTGACAGAATGACAGACAGACAGAGAAGCAGGTTGACTGACAGAGAGACACAGACTGATAGAGAGACAGACAGATAGATAGAAAGACAGGCAGATAGGCAGGCAGGCAGGCTGACAGAATGACAGACAGACAGAGACGCAGGTTGACTGACAGAGAGACACAGACTGACAGAGAGACAGACAGATAGATAGAAAGACAGGCAGATAGGCAGGCAGGCAGGCTGACAGAATGACAGACAGACAGAGAAGCAGGTTGACAGACAGAGAGACACAGACTGATAGAGAGACAGACAGATAGATAGAAAGACAGGCAGATAGGCAGGCAGGCAGGCTGACAGAATGACAGACAGACAGAGAAGCAGGTTGACAGACAGAAAGACACAGACTGACAGAGAGACACAGACTGACAGAGAGACAGACAGATAGATAGAAAGACAGGCAGATAGGCAGGCAGGCAGGCTGACAGAATGACAGACAGACAGAGAAGCAGGTTGACAGACAGAAAGACACAGACTGATAGAGAGACACAGACTGACAGAGAGACAGACAGATAGATAGAAAGACAGGCAGATAGGCAGGTTGACAGACAGAGAAGCAGGTTGACAGACAGAGAGACACAGACTGACAGAGAGACAGACAGATAGATAGAAAGACAGGCAGATAGGCAGGCAGGCTGACAGAATGACAGACAGACAGAGAAGCAGGTTGACAGACAGAGAGACACAGACTGACAGAGAGACAGACAGATAGATAGAAAGACAGGCAGATAGGCAGGCAGGCAGGCTGACAGAATGACAGACAGACAGAGAAGCAGGTTGACAGACAGAGAGACACAGACTGACAGAGAGACAGACAGATAGATAGAAAGACAGGCAGATAGGCAGGCAGGCAGGCTGACAGAATGACAGACAGACAGAGAAGCAGGTTGACAGACAGAGAGACACAGACAGAATGACAGACAGACAGAGAGACACAGACAGAAAGACAGACAGACAGACAGACAGACAGATTTTTTTGGAAATCTCACTTTATATACAACAATGTATGCACATTTAATCAGCTAAAAGTACACAGTCTTTTCACAACGGAGCTACGAGAGACTATATCTATGTACATTATAGCCTCTGAGATATACATTCAGATTATACATATGCGCGACGTCGGAGTATGAATAGTTATGTCCCTGTGGACATTAACAAACAGGACGTTTGTACATCATATATAACACTATATTCGTCACTAAAATATACTGCTAAAGAATCTAAGGAAAAACGTATGTCTGAATACAAAGGACAGTTGAGCAAAACGGGAAGCTCATCTTCAGAACAATTATCACAGCACATCGGGCAAATTCTCTTTTCAACAGATGTCTTGTTAAACCAGTCAAAGGTAGGCAACAAGACGAGATTTCCGGACTGTTGGGTTCTCGCTGTAAACAATAACCCATGTCCTGCCAGACTTGACCATCTCAGTTATGCGTTTTCAGAATAATATTGTTTATTGTGTTTAATCTTGGTTTCATATAGATTTATAAGGAAGTATCAGATATGTGCTCTCTGAGATGTTCAAACATGACTTCTAGAGTAGTATTAAACATCAAAGAACAGGATTCTATTTTTGTCTGCGCTGTTTTCTTTTACAGTTCGTGAGACTCCCACACTCCATTGTTACAAATATCCCGCCAATGTGTTTTTGCGCCAAAACTAACCACAACGCGGCACCAAGCCCCATTTAAACATCTAGGCACTATGATATTGTCTTTGCCGCCAAATTGCGCGTTCAGCAGGTGTTCGGAGACATCCATGACGGACTACCTCACAAATGATGTTGCTGTTTTGCTGGCCGACACCCGGTAAAGCCCTTAGACATTGCAGCACAGGGACGGTCTCAAAAGTAAACTGTCCTTTTATGCAGGACGTCGAAAATAGGATTTCCTTGTCCATGGAAGGGAAACATAATTCGATTACCGTATTCGACGTAATAACCACCCCGGTCTAATAAGCGCCCAAGGCGATATTTGCTAATACATTGGCTAGTGAACAATCCCAATTAGCACCCCTTCCGATTGATCAATGTACACAAGACTTATCTTTTCGCCTATATTACGCACTCGTGTGTTATATGCACCCTTAATTATGGGCAATTAAATTCTGGAAAAATATATCTGTCGTATATAAACATTTCAGGCTTTCAGCATAAACCACGAAATTTATTTTTCAACTCTGTTTTTTTCCCCCACCAAAATAATATTCAAATAAGAGCCCCCTATTTCTAATTTTGAGAACGCCTTCGGCGCTTATTACGTCGAATACGGTACATTAACTTCAATCCGTATACTATCCAATTTCAGAGCGGTTTAAATATTGTAATGAAATTTATACACAATAACATTTCGGAATAATATTTAAAAAATCATTTAATAATTAATTATTTTTCTGGCGGTATTACCTCTAAGTATATATAATACTGATAAATAAAATATCATAATATATCAAATGTATGTTTGTATATCTTGAACTTGTAGGTCTGTTTACTTATTTATACAATTGTTATATACATTATCATTCATCCTGCCATGCGAGGCGGCATGGCTAGTGTAATGGTTAAAGCGCTCGCTCTACACGACAAAAATGGGTTCGATTCTGACGGTACGAAATAGAAATCCTGTTGCTGATGTCCCCCGCCGTAATATTGCGAGAAAAGTGCTAAAATTCACTTCACTAACCCCTGTCGGCGTCATAAACATCTGCTCTTTATCAAGAAGTTGAATATACATCTCACTGAAATTTGATGGTCAGATTTGGGAAATATCGTCATTTAACTACCTCTACTGTTATCGCGAATTTAAAACTATAAACATATTTGGTGACACAGCCCCTAGGTCGGCTCTTCAGTGTGGTGGTATTCATTCCAGCGTATCCCCCATCTGTCGTCTGTGTCTACATCACGGTCGTCTGCTCGTCCAGCCCTTGTCATCAGCGCGTGTCTCCCTCTCCATTGTCGCTGTGTCGTCTGCCACCGCTTACAATTGAGTCTCATGCCCACAATTCCCCACCTGCTCTTCCGGTCCGAGGTCAACGCCGGCTTTTTCTGGGTGGGGTCAACTTCAAGTCAGCCGTATGTGATCACCGGATGCTTATTTGCTAAATAATGTATTGTATAATTTAATAAGCGGTCCACCTGTGGGACTTGAGTGTCAATGTATTCTACGCTGAGGATCTCCACCTCAGTAGGTACTTTCTGACACCATAGGACGTGCGAGAGATGGCTTCTGAATTCCTGTACAGTAAAATCAAGACATTTAACGACATCTCGATACATTTACAATTCCTGTATAATGCTAAGAATGTCTGTCAACTCCTGTGAGATACAAGTCGTGTGGTCTGTGCATGCTTACACTTGTAACTCTCTTCGTAATGTGGTGATGGCGGCGGTGTAGACTAATGGTCGCCTGTCATGTCGAAGTTCGATTCCTAACTGATGCTTCCCTGACGGGAAATTTCAATAATGTGGCGTAAAACTCACTCACTCACTCCCTCACTCATCCACTCATCCAAACAAACACCCACCCACCCACCTATCCACCCACTCACTCACTCACTCACCCAAACACTCACTCACTCACTCACTCACTCACTCACTCATCTATTTTTTTTCAAAGTATATTTTCCTAACTGTGAAAACTTAGTAAACTATATATTTGTATATGTTTGTATGTGATATATGTCCTTAACGTTTTTACTGCGGGAAGTTGTGTCCCTTAGGTGTGCCAGGATGTTATGATGGAAGGTTGGAATCCCATATTCGCGCTGATTATGATTCTTCGTTTGCCAGAAGCATACCCGCGAACGTAGGTGTCACAACAATGGTAAACGACCTGCATTACTTCGAACTCTCTAAAACTTTATGCTAACACGTCGTGTTATAAATGACACGCTGTCCAAATCAACGATAAACACATCTCACTCACTCCCTCATCCATTCGCGATTTGAAACCATCACTGTACCTGGACTGATGTACTTAGATTCATTAGTCAATGGCTTCATCCAGCCTACTGGCCTTTGGGCGAGGAAAAACTGACCTGTTACGCAAGATCTGTGGTAGTCTCGGGGGTCTCGGAAAGTCTCGTGTAGATCTCAGACATTACAAATACGTCACAGTTGATCATAAGTCTTCATATAGTCCGCGGTCTCATTATATCTAAGTTGAGGACGTGAGCCGAAAACTTCGACATAATGGAAAGGTCCATGTAATATGGAATGTGTTAGTTGCTTGAAAATGGGTTGACTCAAATTAATAAATCGAAATTGAAATTAATAAATCGGTATTTAAACCAATGACATTTTCAGTCAATCATGCAATTAGAGATACAGTGAAACAAATCGATCAATATGTCTGGCTATCGATATGTCCAATCAATAATTCTCAATCAGTCAATCAGTAGCTTGACGTTCAAACAACCCCCTCCCCCACCACCCCCTCTCTCTTACCCGCAACTTTTTTCTGCCACTTCTCCCCCTTTTTCTAACCCCTCTATCGCTTACCCCCACCCTTCAGTTCTTTCTCTAACCATGTCTTTTTCTCCAACCCGTCTTTCTTCCTATTCAAATATATATACACGTATATAGTTAATGGTGATTTATTTTCAACCCATACCCTTTCTATCCTTTGAGTAACGTGTTTGGGGCGTTTTCATCTTTAGTGGTATTCTATTTCACCATTATAAGCCCCAGGGGTATTCATTGAGCATATCCGGGTCTATACACCGTCCTAACTACCCGCGGAGCGGAATAAGGCGGAAAACTCGCACGACAATGTTTGAATCCCGGATGACAATACCGGGACGGTGCGGGTGAGCGGTCACATCGACTAGGCCCCTTGTCTTCTGTATCCATATGTACCAACCCTTAACTAAACGCACCCGTGTACAAAAAAACATGAATTTACTCGTATGAAAAAACACTCACAGCTGGTTGGCGCAGAGTATTTAAGTAGATAGAATGTAATAAGACCGGTCATATTAGCGCAGCCCATCTGCCTAAGCCGGGGGCTGTATCAAAGGTTTTGTGGGATCATTATTAACTGCTGATTATGCTTCAATAATGCGTTTGGTTTGTGTGAAAGGATCTTTTTTGGCCGAATAAGAGCGTGTGTTTACCTTAAGGGTTGTTAAGGGTCATATTTAAACATTTATAGAAAACTGCAGTGTTTGCGTTTAGCCCTTTGATATAAGGCTTCAGCCCGCCAATAAAAAAAACACACAAAGGGATTGATAACATGGCTAGATTTTGGCGCGTGCCCTCCGCGAAGACTGCAGCTATGCGTAGGACTAGAGGAATTTAGAATTGCGCGATGGGGCATTTGGTCTCTGTGGGCACAGGTAAGACATACTAAAAGAAACACGGGCACTTGAAATAATAAATACATAGAGACTGTGTTTAGGTACGGCAGGTATTCGTATGGTAGGAAGACGTGGTTTCAGTGTTAAAGTGCGGAATGTTTGATTAGGCTTATGCTTAGATCCAAAGCCAAAGTGAAAAAGGAAAATACCAGCTGAAGTTGTATATCCTTGATACCGAAGCGATAATACGAGTTTACAAACAACATAGCATCACAACAAACAATCCGAACGTTGCTAACCTCACGATCTTTAGCATCTTCGAATATTCAGTGTGTTCTATCTACTTTTTTTATGATTAAAAAGAAATACCACAATAGTATAAAAAATTGGATAATAAGGGACGAATTTGTAGACTTTAAAATTGTTTATACTTTTTACAATGAAGGGCAAAAGATACAAACGTGTTATTCTCTTACAATATCAATTTACAACGACTTAATAATCGATATATATTGTTTTCATATTTTTATCAACAAACATGAAATAATATGATCACATTTATCTACAGTTTAAGTAAGTATGAGGTGTTTTCGTACGTTACGTCATGAATGTTACAACACTAGTCCATGTATGTTGATAAATTACTTGAAAATGTACCATTGCGAAATGTTAAAAGGAATCTTTATTAGTTTCGCATAAACGAAAGATTAACACGAGGCAAACACCTTTCAAGTCGATATTGATTATCTTTGTTCCAAAAGGGATTTCTATGTGTTAAACTAAGCATTAAGACTGCCACAAAGCCATTCGGTGACGACCCACTTTTTTTATCAGGGAATATAAAGATGTTGAGAGTCGCCCTAATTCCTATACACGCGACAGTCGCGTGCCCCTGTCCTTTGTGACGGTCGCCAGCCGTGCGCATTGAACATCTGGAGGAAAATGGGAGCTTTTCAAACACCATCTTAACAAAAGCTCGGAATTACGCTATAAAAAACCTCACACATTTCAGTGCAAAATACCCCGACAATATAGAGCTGGCAGCATACCGTTACAGGCGGCGCGCGAAGTTTGCACCTGTCGGGTTTGGCGCGCGATTTTCACCTGGCTTTTGTAAAGACGATCTTTTCATGGTTGGCGGTTAAAAAAGGCGCGTATCTAATACGGGAACGTTTGTGTTGACGGAAATAAAGGCTGATTGTTGCTTTGGGGAATAAAATCTTCAAAGAAAATGAGTTTTTGAAAACTTCATTGTTCATATTTGACACAATGATCTAAATATATCAATAATTGCTACTTATAAAACTTCATGATAAATAAGGAAAAGTGAAAAAAACAGTTTACGAGTTTAATGAAACTGGGATTATTGAGTAGATAGCAATGATATAATTTTGATTTAACACACTGTGACCACCCAATCCCCAGTTTGTGTCTGCTCTTACGTTAAGCACAAGTTCACAAATCCCCACGAGGGTCAAGTAGTTTGAGAAAAGTAAGATTCCAATAAGGAAATTATAAATATCACCTTTCGAATTATGAACAAAGAGTTACATTATCCACTTATTTAACAGGAATCCAATTAAGAACCTGCAGAATGACACCTTTCGAATCATTTCCGCATCAGTCTGCCAGCGCGGAGGCTCTTTAATGGAAATGTACTAGTACATTTTGTGATTTGTAATTCGCGCATTTTGTTGAAATTATACCTGGAAATCAAATAGTCAAAGTGTTGTTTTTCTTTTATGTTTAGTATATTCGATTATCCAAACACATTCGGATTTTATAAATGTTTAGTATGCTTAAAAAAATGGGGTGGGATGCGACCCCTATATTTTCAAAAATATACTTGTCCCGGAAATACAGGAAAAGAATTATTGTGCAAAAATAGTTTTCGCTGGACAGTATCATTCATCCCCTCCACCTCTCACCCACTCACGCACGCTTGCACGAAGCTGTGGATGACCCCCAAATAAGACTACCCATATTACCCCACCTTATGAGACTCGCAAGTCTTGCCGATTGTAATAAGATCAGAGAAGACTTCCCATTAAGACATGCTGACGACATTGCCGCCACAAGCATCAATAATGAATAACATACATGCGTATTTATCGGTTACAATGCACAAAAATATATATTCAATAATAGTACATAAACATATTGAAGAACTTAAACTATCCAAATGTGTTGATAGTCACTCAAAAAAGGACGTCGTTCTGTATTAGTTCAACTCGTGTCCGGGTAGAGATACTCTGTTAAACACGAAAGCCTAACCTAGTTGCGATCAAAGCAAACTCTCACACACGGCCGCCCATTAACCATGATTGGCGCGAAATCCGCGTTATTTTCCGAAACAACTTTTGTAAGATAGAGCGCGCGGTTGTTTGCACCTGGCCAATCGGAACAAAGAATACATGACAGATGTGATCACGTGTGACCTGACCTCCACGCGCCCAGTGGAAGCAGGTGTTAGTTCACTAACGGTATGCAAGTGGCGGAAGGTCTATTGTGTCCCTTTGACAGAAGGCCCTTCTTCCGTCGGAAAAGACCCCCAACGAGATGAAATATCATTCACCAGAAAGGGGACTATAATTTGTGGTTTGGGCCTTGTTATGAAGACGAGTTTTGAATACAGATGGTTTAGCTGAATCACCTGTCCGGCGGGAAGCGGCATGTTACCCGGATTTAAAAACACACAACAAAGACTGTCTGAGATGTTGGCAGTGTCTTTGTTCCCCCTGTACAACGTTTAAACACTGCTTCATGACGTGGTGTTCCTGTAGTGTTTTGTCTCCCCAAAATGATGAATTTGTTAATGCTGTTAATAATACCACCACTCTTACTACTACTACTACCACTACTACTACTACTACTACTACTACTACTACTACCACTACTACTACTACTACTGTTAATAATACCAACACTCTTACTACTACTACTACTACTACTGTTAATAATACCACCGCTCTTACTACTACTACTACCACTACTACTACTACCACTACCACTACTACTACTACTACTACTACTACTACTACTACCACTACTACTACTACTACTGTTAATAATACCAACACTCTTACTACTACTACTACTACTACTGTTAATAATACCACCGCTCTTACTACTACTACTACCACTACTACTACTACCACTACCACTACTACTACTACTACTACTACTACTACTACTACTACTACTACTACTGTTAATAATACCACCACTCTTACTACTACTACCACTACCACTACTACTACTACTACTACTACTACTACTACTACTACTACTACTACTGTTAATAATACCACCACTCTTACTACTACTACCACTACTACTACTACTACTACTACTACCACTACTACTACTACTACTACTGTTAATAATACCACCACTCTTTCTACTACTACCACTACCACTACTACTACTACTACTGTTAATAATACCAACACTCTTACTACTACTACTACCACTACTACTACTACTACCACTACTACTACTACTACTACTACTACTACTACTACTACTGTTAATAATACCACCACTCTTACTACTACTACTACCACTACTACTACTACTACTACTACTACTACTACTACTACTACTGTTAATAATACCACCACTCTTACTACTACTACTACCACTACTACTACTACTACTACTACTACTACTACTACTACTACTACTGTTAATAATACCACCACTCTTACTACTACTACTACCACTACTACTACTACTACTACTACTACTACTACTACCACTACTACTACTACTACTACTACTACTACTACTACTACTACTACTACCACTACTACTACTACTACTACTACTACTACTACTACTACTACTACTGTTAATAATACCACCACTCTTACTACTACTACTACCACTACTACTACTACTACTACTACTACTACTACTACTACTACTGTTAATAATACCAACACTCTTACTACTACTACTACCACTACTACTACTACTACTACTACTACTACTACTACTGTTAATAATACCAACACTCTTACTACTACTACTACCACTACTACTACTACTACTACTACTACTACTACTACTGTTAATAATACCACCACTCTTACTACTACTACTACCACTACTACTACTACTACTACTACTACTACTACTACTACTACTATTACTACTACTACTATTACTACTACTACTACTACTACTACTACTACTACTACTGTTAATAATACCACCACTCTTACTACTACTACTACCACTACTACTACTACTACTACTACTACTACTACTACTACTACTATTACTACTACTACTATTACTACTACTACTACTACTACTACTACTACTACTACTACTACTACTACTGTTAATAATACCACCACTCTTACTACTACTACTACCACTACTACTACTACTACTACTACTACTACTACTACCACTACTACTACTACTACTGTTAATAATACCACCACTCTTACTACTACTACTACCACTACTACTACTACTACTACTACTACTACTACTACTACTACTATTACTACTACTACTATTACTACTACTACTACTACTACTACTACTACTACTACTGTTAATAATACCACCACTCTTACTACTACTACTACCACTACTACTACTACTACTACTACTACTACTACTACTACTACTATTACTACTACTACTATTACTACTACTACTACTACTACTACTACTACTACTACTACTACTACTGTTAATAATACCACCACTCTTACTACTACTACTACCACTACTACTACTACTACTACTACTACTACTACTACTACTACTATTACTACTACTACTATTACTACTACTACTACTACTACTACTACTACTACTACTACTACTACTGTTAATAATACCACCACTCTTACTACTACTACTACCACTACTACTACTACTACTACTACTACTACTACTACTGTTAATAATACCAACACTCTTACTACTACTACTACCACTACTACTACTATTACTACTACTACTACTACTACTACTACTACTACTACCACTACTACTACTACTATTACTACTACTACTACTACTACTACTACTACCACTACTACTACTACTACTACTACTACTACTACTACTACTACCACTACTACTACTACTACTACTACTACTACTACTACTACTACTACTGTTAATAATACCACCACTCTTACTACTACTACTACCACTACTACTACTACCACTACTACTACTACTACTACTACTACTACTACTACTACTACTACTACTACTACTACTGTTAATAATACCAACACTCTTACTACTACTACTACCACTACTACTACTACTACTACTACTACTAGTACTACTGTTAATAATACCACCACTCTTACTACTACTACTACCACTACTACTACTATTACTACTACTACTACTACTACTACTACTACTACTACTACTACTACTACTGTTAATAATACCACCACTCTTACTACTACTACTACCACTACTACTACTACTACTACTACTGTTAATAATACCAACACTCTAACTACTACTACTACCACTACTACTACTACTACCACTACTACTACTACTACTACTACTACTACTACTACTACTACTACTACTACTACTGTTAATAATACCAACACTCTTACTACTACTACTACCACTACTACTACTACTACTACTACTACTACTACTACTACTACTATTACTACTACTACTATTACTACTACTACTACTACTACTACTACTACTACTACTACTGTTAATAATACCACCACTCTTACTACTACTACTACCACTACTACTACTACTACTACTACTACTACTACTACTGTTAATAATACCAACACTCTTACTACTACTACTACCACTACTACTACTATTACTACTACTACTACTACTACTACTACTACTACTACCACTACTACTACTACTATTACTACTACTACTACTACTACTACTACCACTACTACTACTACTACTACTACTACTACTACTACTACTACTACTACCACTACTACTACTACTACTACTACTACTACTACTACTACTACTACTACTACTGTTAATAATACCACCACTCTTACTACTACTACTACCACTACTACTACTACCACTACTACTACTACTACTACTACTACTACTACTACTACTACTACTAGTACTACTGTTAATAATACCACCACTCTTACTACTACTACTACCACTACTACTACTATTACTACTACTACTACTACTACTACTACTACTACTACTACTACTACTACTACTGTTAATAATACCACCACTCTTACTACTACTACTACCACTACTACTACTACTACTACTACTGTTAATAATACCAACACTCTAACTACTACTACTACCACTACTACTACTACTACCACTACTACTACTACTACTACTACTACTACTACTACTACTACTACTACTACTACTACTACTGTTAATAATACCAACACTCTTACTACTACTACTACCACTACTACTACTACTACTACTACTACTAGTACTACTGTTAATAATACCACCACTCTTACTACTACTACTACCACTACTACTACTATTACTACTACTACTACTACTACTACTACTACTACTACTACTACTACTGTTAATAATACCACCACTCTTACTACTACTACTACCACTACTACTACTACTACTACTACTGTTAATAATACCAACACTCTAACTACTACTACTACCACTACTACTACTACTACTACTACTACTACTACTACTACTATTACTACTACTACTACTACTACTACTACTACTACTACTACTACTACTACTGTTAATAATACCAACACTCTAACTACTACTACTACCACTACTACTACTACTACTACTACTACTACTACTGTTGATAATACCACCACTCTTACTACTACTACTACTACTACTACCACTACTACCACTACTACTACTACTACTACTACTACTACTACCACTACTACTACTACTACCACTACTACTACTACTACTACTACTACTACTACTACTACTACTACTACCACTACTACCACTACCACTACTACTACTACTACTACTACTACTACTACTACTACTACTACTACTACTACTGTTGATAATACCACCACTCTTACTACTACTACTACTACTACTACTACCACTACCACTACTACTACTACTACTACTACTACTACTACTACTACTACCACTACTACCACTACCACTACTACTACTACTACTACTACTACTACTACTACTACTACCACTACCACTACTACTACTACTACTACTACTACTACTACTACTACTACCACTACCACTACTACTACTACTACTACTACTACTACTACTACTACTACTGTTAATAATACCACCACTCTTACTACTACTACCACTACTACTACTACTACTACTACTACTACTACTACTACTACTACTACTGTTAATAATACCAACACTCTGACTACTACTACCACTACTACTACTACTACTACTACTACTACTACTACTACTACTACTGTTAATAATACCACCACTCTTACTACTACTACCACTACTACTACTACTACTACCACTACTACTACTACTACTACCACCACTACTACTACTACTACTACTACTACTACTACTGTTAATAATACCACCACTCTTACTACTACTACCACTACTACTACTACTACTACTACTACTACTACTACTACTACTACTACTACTGTTAATAATACCACCACTCTTACTACTACTACCACTACTACTACTACTACTACTACTACTACTACTACTACTACTACTGTTAATAATACCACCACTCTTACTACTACTACCACTACTACTACTACTACTACTACTACTACTACTACTACTACTACTACTGTTAATAATACCACCACTCTTACTACTACTACCACTACTACTACTACTACTACTACTACTACTACTACTACTACTACTGTTAATAATACCACCACTCTTACTACTACTACCACTACTACTACTACTACTACTACTACTACTACTACTACTACTACTACTACTACTACTGTTAATAATACCACCACTCTTACTACTACTACCACTACTACTACTACTACTACTACTACTACTACTACTACTACTACTGTTAATAATACCACCACTCTTACTACTACTACCACTACTACTACTACTACTACTACTACTACTACTACTACTACTACTACTACTACTACTACTACTACTGTTAATAATACCACCACTCTTACTATTAAAATTGGGGCGGTCGGGTAGCCGAGTGGTTAAAGCGTTCGCTCGTCACGCCGAAGACCCGGGTTCGATTCCCGACATGGGTACAATGTGTGAAGCCCATTTCTGGTGTCCCCCGCAGTGATATTGCTGGAATATTGCTAGAAGCGGCGTAAAACCAAACTCACTCTACTACTACTACTACTACTACTACTACTACTACTACTGTGGCGGTGGGGTAGCCCAGTGGTTAAAGCGTTCAATCGTCACGCTTAAGACCCGGGTTCGATACCCGACATGGGTACAATGTGTGAAGCCCATTTCTGGTGTCCCCCGCCGTGATATTGCTGGAATATTGCTAAAAGAGGTGTAAAACAATATTCACTCACTCTACTACTACTACTACCACTACTCCTACGCCCAGATCATGTTTCTAAGTTTGCCAGCACCATACCCGTTGCCGTGGTTTTCACCAAAGTGGTAAACGTCTGATAAATGCATAACTTCGGGTTTTCCTCCCACATCAAGCCGACACGTTGTGTTAAGACAGTTCAAAGAGGCGTTCTCTGGCTGTGCTGGTATATCGCCACCATCAGACAGTCTACCGTATCGTCAGCTTTATGACTAGCCGACGACAATCGTGATCCAACCACACATTTTCACCTGGTTTCTGCTTTTAAATAGATCATTTTTAAGCCATGTAAATGTTGTATATTTGTTGGCGTCCACCCTTTGTGAAGAAGTATACTAGTCATGGGTTCGAATCCTAGATTCCCCCCGATAAAGATCCTTAGTCGGCCGGTAACCTACCCGTGCTCTTGGGTTAAACATACGTGTCAGGTGAGTGTGTATGGTTTTACGCCGCTTTTAGCAATATTCCAGCAATATCACGGCGGGGGACACAAGAAATGGGCTTCACACATTGTACCCATGTCGGGAATCGAACCCGGGTCTTCGGCGTGACGAGCGAACGCTTAAACCACTAGGCTACCCGACCGCCCCCATACATGTAAGGAGAAAGCATACATCTGCACCACTTTGGTCGGTCCTCCAACATTAAGGTAACGCATCCTGATACAACTGATATATACTGATCAAAGCAGCTCACTTGTCGTATAATGCGACTTACGGGATCAGCTGGTCAGGCTCGCTGACTTGGTTGATGCTTGTCATCGTATCCCAATTGCATGGATCGATGCTCATGATGTCAATCACTGGATTGTCTGGTCCAGACGATTATTTACAGACCGCCGTCATATAGATTGGATATTACTCAGTGCCGTGTTAAACAACAATCAAATAAACAAACAAAACAAAACACATTCCATATCACACACTGTAACTTTAAAAAATGTATTCTCAAGGAGAGATTGAAAATGTTTAATCGATTATTCCTACCCAGAACGGGTTACACATGGTCGATCTTGTTTCAGGGGGAACTAAGACCAGTGCTCTGGAACTAGCTATTGCGCCAGGGAGGGCGACACGAGGCTGTTGTCAACGTTGTCTGGACCGTAGTTGACACGTCGTTGTTGCGGGAGGGGAGTGAGTACATGGGGGCATTTTGGGTGTACCTGCTCTTTTACGGGTGTTTCATGCGGGTGGCGGACACAGAGACGCTGGACACAAGTGGACTGTTGACCAGTGTGTAAGTAGCTCGGGATGACTACAGGGTGGCTGGGTAGAAGAAGTGAGCATCACCACACTCTCGCCATGTTCATGATTAGAGAGACTCGTGAAGATCCGGGGTAGATAGATCTTCAGCAACTCATGCTTGCTGCAAAAGGCAACTATGCTTGTCGAAAGAGACAACTAACGTGATCGGGTGGTCAGGCTCTCTTACTTGGTTGATGCATGTGATCGTATCCCAATTGCGTGACTCGATGCTCATGATATCAATCACTGGGTTGTCTGGTCCAGACTCGATCATTTACAGACCGCCATCATTAAGCTGGAATATTGCTGAGTGCGGCGTTA